GAGGGAGACTCGCCGAAAGAAGAAAAGGCGAGAACAACGGGCGATCGAGAGAGACTGGCTCGCGATCGACTAGCAGATTGACACACGATTCTCTAGAAATTACCGTGTCTCTCGAGATATCATTGTATTACCGCATTTAGTGCCTACCGACGTGATATCGGTTGTTTTGTGCCGTCTTCTCGCCGGCGCGGCCTATCGAGAGCGAACCAATTTCGAAGGAGATCTCCGACGCTAGTGACCGATCTCCGACCCAAAGCGAGCCAGGATCCGCCACGGAACGGCAGTATCGACGCGGAGACGACCACCGTGAAGCGAGGAGACTGATCCGGAGTAAAGGCGAGGAGGAGCCCGACTTTTGTAAGATCTCTCATTTGTTGGCGTGTTAATGTCATGCATTTATCGTATCGAGGCTGTCGCATGCTGAGTGGTCGCGCGAGAACTATACTAGAGCTCCGAACCGGGATTAATATAATTAGCAAACGTATCGACACGTGCAAGATATTGAATAGCGCATTGAAAGTGCATGTACCGATCTAATAAAGATCTCTACCGAAAGTACGATTGCCTTCTTTTCCTCGGCTTCCCCCCTGCAACTAAGAAACCCATCCCTACTCCGACTAAAATTTAAAGAGAGCTACCGGTCCCGCTAAGTCCCCGCGATATCGAAGACGGGGTATAATTTAGAGATTTTGGCGAATAATAGTTAGTGAGGAGGTGCGGCCTTACCGCACCTGGCGCCCAACTTGCGTTGATGAGTTCGTATCGAGATCCGGGGACGGCGGTAATTTGCCGACGAAGCGGACAGGCGACTGTCCGCTACTATCGATAAGAAAAGTCGTCGCACCGTGAATCTTGCGACATTGTTTTTAGTTAACACAATTCCAAGTTGCTTTTAATTTATTTCTGCTTGAAATAATCATCATGGTAAACATGCATAATCCTGAAAAACCAAAATCCCACAATTCGGGAAAAATATCGATTTTAATATCGAAAATTCACAATCCCAAAAACTACAGCGTAAGCACAATTTCTCCTGAAATACTGAAAACATGAAATTGTTCTACAAAGACTACATTTCGAGATTCACTGCCAGTACTAAAAATCTATAGTTTATGTTACATATACTATAGAATTTTAATATTGGCAGTGAATTTCGAAACGCAGCGAAAGTTATATAACAAATCACTAATAACTTTACGGGAGCGGTGCACTTGGACACGGTGCATTTGGACACAGCCAATCACAGCACCGTGTGATTAGATACATTTGTAGGGTCCCTTGGAACAGCGACTTGTGATTGGACTGTGTCCAATTTCCCCGTGTCCAACTGATATACACCCTAACTTTACGCCTTCAATATTTCGGGAGATTGTCCCGCTGTACACAATTTTCGGGATTGTGACTTTTTGGAACGTTGTCCCATTTTTATAGTTTCACGATACCTTCTTTTTAGACTTATGCATCCACTATCACCATGAGTGGGTATGTTTCGATAAAAATTCGTAGAAAAGGATGATGATCCACTCATAAAATTTATTTTTGGTTTCGATTATCTTAACGAGAGCTGATGCACTTTTTAACGGCACTTGTGCAACGCGGTTGAATTATACAGAAGCGCCGCGTCGTTGAGTTGCAAGTTTCGAGATTGTGACGAAACGAACATGATTTATCATTTGAATTGTAGGTTTTATGATAATTATGTCAGAATATAACAGTGGGCGTTTGTACACGAAAAATAATCGATGATTCGAGGTTAAAGTCCCTCTTATCAAACCTCCTGTCGCGTTGTAAAAAGAAACGAGGAATATTAAACACAATGTGTAATAAAATTCACAAAACCTTATATAAGATTTTTTTCTTCTCTCTGATTGTGAAAAGTGATTCTATATAATTATATAGACACATATAATTACATATGAATTAGATATAATTATATATAACTCATATATGAGTTTTGCCTCTGTATATACGAGTAGTCCCAGAAGTACCCGACCTGACGTATAGATGGCTGTTGTTGTTTGAAAAAAATCACTATGGCCGAAAGCATCAACCTTATAAAGCTGAAGTTTGAAGTTTTAAGACGCTACATTGTTTAGTATTAGTTTGGCAGCCATCAATAGTGAACGCTCTCAGTACATTTGTAAACATGGAGAAAATTGGTCATCGTTATATGATACAATATTTTCATTTGAAAGGTCTCAGTCCAACCAATATCAAAACTGAGCTAGATTCTACTCTGGCGGAGTCTGCTCCCTCGTTTACAACAATAAAATATTGGGTGGCAGAGTTTAAAAGAGGCCGTAAGAGCTGCCAAGACGAACATCGCAGTGGTCGACCAAATGAGGTGACCACGCCAGAAATGGTGACGAAAATCCACAAAATGGTATTGGATGACCGTCGACTGAAAGTGCGCGAGTTAGCTGACATGGTAGGCATATCAAAAAGTGCTGTACATCGCATATTGACTGAAAATTTGGACATGAAAAAGCTGTGCGCACGATGGGTGCCGCGTTTGCTCACAATTGAACAAAAACAGCGTCGTGAGGATGTTTCAATCGAGTGTTTGGCGATGTTTCGCAGTAATAAGGCCGAGTTTTTGCGTCGATTCATAACCATGGATGAAACATGGGTTCATCATTTCACACCTGAGACGAAAGAACAGTCGAAACAATGGACTGAAAGGGGAGAATCGGCTCCGAAAAAGGCGAAGACAACTCCATCGGCTGGCAAGGTTATGGCGTCAGTTTTTTGGGATGTGCGTGGGATAATTTTCATTGATTATCTTCAAAAAGGAAAAACAATCAACGGCGAGTATTATGCAAACTTATTGCAGCGTTTGAGTGGTGAAATAAAAAAAAAAACGTCCGCATTTGGCGAAAAAGATAGTGTTTCATCATGACAATGCACCGGCTCACACGTCCGTTATTGCGATGGCCAAAATCAATGAGTTAAAGTTCGAATTGCTTTCTCACGCACCCTATTCACCAGATTTAGCCCCCTCAGATTATTATCTATTTCCAAACTTGAAAAAATGGCTTGGTGGTAAAAGATTTGCTAACAATGAAGAGGTGGAGTCTGCGGTTGATGGCTATTTTGAGGAACTCGATGGTTCTCACTATAAACATGGTATCGAAGCTATTGAACATTGCTGGGAAAAGTGTATCGAGTTAAAAGGGGACTATGTTGAGAAATAAAGATATATTTTTTCAAAATTTTTGTGTTTTCTTTGTTAAGCCGGGTACTTCTGGAACTACCCTCGTATGTACATATACAATTATTATTGTTTTCATCTGTTTCTTCATTCTCATCACTTCTGTCTTCTTTCACTACCTTCTTCATTTCCTCAACATCAATGTCTTGAGGTACTTAGCGCGTGTCAACTGGAAATTGGCGAGATCGCGAAAAGGAAGTATATATTAATTATAATGCAATATTGTTACTATTGTTGCGTGCTTATTAACGCAACGTACTCGCATAAATCTAATTGTCGATTGCTGTTGCCGCTTTGTGATGTCAACTCCTCAACGCGTCCCGACTGATTGTCTTTTGTTATTGTTCCAGTGACGCAATGGCTGTGCACATGGAAATGCATGGCTTTGTTGTGTATTCTGGCCTTAATACTAATGACTATTGAATTGGGCTCTTTATATTTCACTCGTTACATGGACGCGCCGGTTTTCCCGGAAATTCCAGACTCATCGTTGGAGGGTAATTATTCTATCAGAAAAATTCTCTTCCAAGAAAGTACGCGGCGCAAAGTAAAATTAGATAGACAGACTCGTACATGTAGACGGGAGATTGACGCTATTACGTGCGCTTTCGAAATCGCGATGTTCATATTATCTTCCGTCTATCCATCACATATTTTTGCATTTAATTAATTGTTTGTTTGCGCATGCATGGAAAATGCGTAAAAAATGCGTTTGTTTTAGTTGTGAATTTTCCTGAGGTCGACAGAACGACTGTGTACTTAAGCATGTTTATTTGTTTTTCATTTTTAACTAGACAGGAAGATATTCTTTAGTACACACGCGTAAGACAAAGAGAAAACCAAATAAAATACAAAGCAGTGTAAAAATACCAATTAAGTTGTTCTTAATTTAATAATTGATTGAACAAATATATTACAATTAAACCAATTGACAATTGATATAAGCAAAAGTAATCAAGGGATGTTCAATATTTTTACCCTTTTCCTTATCTATCATGTCCAATTACATTTTCCCTACTTTATTCAACGGGTACCATATCGTCCTTTCATACAATAATATCTCATATAACAATCTCTGTTATAATCTCTGTCACAACTTCTATCACAACCTGTTTATCCTTTCAGCACACATTTATCATTTTATTTTTGCTCTTTCTATCCGATCTCTTTACTGCTTTCCGTACTTCCTCTTTTCCTCCAATTTTCTTCAATATTTTGTTAGATTTATATATTACATTATTCTCTATACTTTCTGATAATTCCTAATAATTCCATAGAGTGATTCCTCTCCTCTTTCCTTCATTTCCTATATGTTTTCTTCAGCTTACATCGCAAAAAAGTTTCCTATATTCTCATACCTTCCTCTTATTCTTTGCACTTCAATCTTCTTACACAGTATTTGTCCCATCAGTCCTTGTGTCATCTTCTTCTTCTATATACCTTTATTTTATTTCAATATTTCATCCGATGACGCAATACATTCTCGAACGTTATTCAGACGCAAAGTTTCTTTATTTTTCATCTTGTGTAACATTTCTTCTTGGTAATCATCAGATGTTACAGTAAATTCGATGCGCTTCGTGGAAAGGAATGAATGGGTCGCCCAGCTGCCCTCGATGCCTTTAATGAAGCTGAAGTTGCCGGTGCCCTATGTGATCATCAGTCACACCGCCACAGACTTCTGCACTACACAGTCCGAGTGCACATTTCGCGTGAGACTCGCGCAGACCTACCATATCGAGATGAGGAACTGGTCAGACATCGACTACAACTTTCTCGTTGGCGGCGACGGCCTCGCATACGTCGGCAGAAGCTGGGACTATGTCGGCGCCCATTCCTTTGGCTACAACAATCGCAGCATCGGTATTTCATTCATCGGCACCTTCCATAATGTCAAACCGCCAAAAGTACAGTTGTATGCCGCACAAAAGATCATCGAGATCGGCGTTGAGACCGGTAAGATTGCTCCTGACTATAAGCTCTTGGGCCATCGACAAGTCTCGAATACCTCGAGTCCTGGAGAAACTCTGTATGACATCTTAAAGTCGTGGCCACATTAGGTACCCACTTCTTGACGCAAATAACGCGCAAGAGTTTACTGCGTTAAGGAACGAGATTGCGAAATGATTTCCGGTCTCTTGTCCATCTCTTTCGGATCTAAACGCGTGATGTTTGTTTATTTGGTAAAAACACAATTCCAATTTTAGTAATAGCTGACCGTAGAAATTATTTCTCAGCAAACTATTAAATGTTGGTAATGTTACATCAATTTTACAATGTTTCACTTAACACTATGTTATGTACACTCAGAGGCAGGTATGGTGTCCCTCGGCGGGTCCGTATACGCCTGTCAAATAGTCGAAAGCGACAACAGGCGTATACGGAGGGCGTACTGTACGTCTGACGTACAACGCGAGAGAAGCGAAGAAGGCACGTAGGGGAAGTGGTGGGAGATATTTCGATGTTGCATTCTTTTCGCACGTCGTCCGATCGAGAGAGAAAACATCAGCAGACGTGATAGCTGTTAGTGGTGTCCTCAATAGCTGTCTCACTCACTCAACGCTTGAATGCAGAGAATATGAGCGAGACAGCAATAGGGACACCGCGCTGTCTCTATAGGTGTCTCGCTCGCTCTAGTATCCATGTATCACGCTTTCCTCTTTTCTCCTTAGCAGAAATGCACGTTGTGCCGATGAATGACACCGAACGACAAAATTTAACTCTTTTGTTGTACGAATGTGAATAGTCATTTCCGATGTATTTTTGCCCGCTAAGCACAAATCCTTAGTTCAAATTTGGTTACCACGTTACATTTTTGAAAAAAATGCATCGGAAATGATAGATATATTTCGTCATTATAAGGTCATTAAGATGCGCATGTAATATTGAAATATTAAGATCTTTACAAAGAATGAATTTTGCCGACATATGAGAAAAATTATCTTCTTCTGAAAATTATCATATTCTGATGTCAATGGTAATGGACAAAAACATTTCACAATTTGACATATCCTACGGAATGGAATAAATTTTTTTCTTCGTAAATTTTATGATAACCATCAGTATAGATATATCAATATGTAATCATAAAGTATAGACCTTTCTTTGCAATTTTAAAAAGAGGCAGATTTTTTCGCAGAGTTTCGACATATCTAAGGGCGCGATCCATTGCACGTTGCAAACGCTTCGAAGTCTAAGCACTCAAAGTTACCCATGCATTTCTTTTAAACCGCTTAAGACCGGGAATACAATAGGTGTAGTAAGCTTTAAGCATTAAGAAATTAAACAATCCTAGTCGACTTTTACAAGAATAATCGAATGAGGTTTGCCAATTTCTTATGACTTAAAGCTTACTACACTTATTGTATTCCCGTGCTAATTTGACGTACTAGATGGAATGAATTCTTTTCATAAATCTTATGATAATAATTGTAAAATATCGTCGTTTTCTTACAAATTAAAAAAAAATAAGAAAGAACTAATAATGTTATAAGGCTCTTGTAAAAATCAATTTAATTCTAAATATAAACAGTAGGCATATAAGAGCCGATTTTTCGCTGGTTCGTGTTATGTAGGTTTAATGTAAAGAAACAATTAATACAAGTCTTCTATAAATATCACGTACGTTTAGGTCCTCGGTTCGTATATTCTTCAGTGTAAAAAAAGAGGACAGGACAGAACACAACATAAATGTTGCAAATTTCGCGTAAAGCAAAGTAAGAAGTCAATGAAATCAAGAAACTGTAGACCCCTTTATTATTGGACCGCCTCCATATCTATTACCTTAAGAAGCAAGAAAAAGTCTCTTAAAAAAAAACTTGCTTTAATTGGAAACTTGTATTAATTGTTTCAAACTTACATAACACGAACCAACGAAAAATCGGCTCTTACATGTCTACTGTTTATATTTAGAATTAAATTAATAAAAAAGAAGTTTGTACGACATTTTCCGCGGTGCTACGGCATTAAACCATACTTTATATACTAAACATTAAACAATACTTTATATAATCATAAAACCATAAATCATAAAATCATTATATAAAACCATTAAACAATACTTTATATATAATCATATATAATTCTGCAGAATTATATATGATTATATATAAAATATTTTTTAACAAAGCATCTAAGTCACTTATGCATTTTTAAACACTTATCGTCACAAATACACATACATGATGAGCAAAATGCGATCAACAAGTTTCTTGTGATGCGCATCGAGTAACATTAATACTGACAGTAACTGATTAAAAATGCATAGATAACTTTGAGACGCCGTAACTCCGCGGAAGGAAATCGTGCTTTTCATTTTTATTCTTTTTTTATTTGCAAGAAAACGATATT